ATATATATATATATATATATAGAGAGAGAGAGAGAGAGAGAGAGAATAAAGATAAAAATAAATATTAATAAAACAGAATAAAAATTCCAATATTTTTTATCCAAATTGTGGATGCCTTCTGATACATTGTTGATATAGATATTTATTGATTAAATCATTTTTTGTGCATTTGTATTCCTTTTAATGCGATGATTATACATGCACTAAACGTTTGGGGTGCGTGAGATCTTTTTTTTTAACTTTTATTAAGCACGGATATATTAAATTGATCAAAAGTGACAGTAAAGACACTAATGTTACAAAAGATTTCTATTAAAAATACATGCTGTACTTAAAAAAAAAAATTATTCATCAAAGAATCCTGAAATAATTTATCATGGTTTTTTTGTATCTTTTTTTTTTTTTTTTTACATTGACAATAACAAATGTTTCTTGAGCGGCAAATGAGCATATCAGAATTATTTCTGAAGGATCATGTGACACTGAAGACTGGTGTAATGGCTGCTTTAGCTTTGCTTTCACAGGAATACATTTTAAAATACATTAAAATAGAAATTTAAGTTATTCCATTTTACTGTTCTCCAGTATTTTTGATTAAATAAATGTAGCCTTGGTAAAGATTTTCATAAATATTACAAAAATCTTACCAACCCCAAATGTTTAAACGGTAGTGTACATTAACAAGACTTATATATCTGAATTACTAACAGGAAAATAAAAATCAGAATATGAGCTCAAAACATAATGGAACAATGAACATGTATCATGGATGAATAAAATAAATAGTATGCCGTTTATTTATAACTCCACGCACTGTGTAGGAGCTTTGACAACTCTCTCCATCTGGCGTCCCTGGTGATTCTCCAGCAGAGTCAGAGAGAAGGAGTGCTCCAGGCTGGGGACAGATGTGACCTCCCCAAAAGGCTGCACCTGGACCAGGGAGCGATGGGCATGATCGAGGACTACATACCGCTCAGAACTGCAGCACAGGGAAACAAATGAGTGAAGTCTGATTCAGAAACAAGAGGATTAACTAAACAGCAAATGCAAACAGGGGTGTTACTTTTTATAAAAGATCATTAAAAAAAGTGAATGCATATAAATGGCATGTAAATATAATGCAGTGTTTTGTAACCCTCATAAAACAAAGTAAAGTCATAACACAAACAGGTTTTTCAGCTTTCTACCTTTTCTTGCTGGCAATAACAAGTAGGTCATTGAAGAGAAAGAGGTAGACGGGGCTGAATTTGGGGCGGAGGTTCAAGAATGTCCCTCCTCTGTTTACTTCCTGCAGTTCTCCTCGTTTCTCCAAATAACGTGTTTGAGAGATAATTGGCACCGCCTAAATAAATGATTCAATGATGAGACAACATTTAAACAAATAAATAGATCAATTTAAATAATGACTATAAAATATATAAAAATATATCGATTTTTTTTATATAAAAAAATATAATAGTAAATATTCCTTTTTTTTTTTTTCAATAAAGCATTTAAAAAAAAACATTTTGGTAGAATCAAAAAGAAGCTAGGGAGCTGATTGAGACGCACCCTAAGATTCTACACTATTTTTTGGTCGCTAATCAAAAGTAAACACATTTGTGCAAGTGATCATGTGACATTCACATTGTAATTATTTTGTTCATTATTTAAAAAAATAAATACAAAACAGAGGAATTTTCACTGGTGGCCTCAGAATTTTAAATCCCACTGTAACCATCTGTATAATAATTGCTTTACAAAGACAGGTTTAAGGAACAGAACTAAATAAACATTAATACAAAAGTCAACTTGCTTACCTTTAGTTTGTCGAACTCCAGCATACCATTAATCTGAATCAGTTCCTCCATCTGCTTCATTTTTCCAACCTGAGTATTACATTCTTCAATGATCTGTGAGGACATGCGTGACAAGTTATTTAAAGATCACATCAAAAACATTCTTTCCATACAGACAATTGAATCTGAATGCATGACAAACATATTAAACATGACCTATTTTGGTTCTTTCGTGAAAATAAAAAACAAATAAACTTCTTTTACTAGCCTAATGCTTTAAAACCTACTTTATCAAATATGGCATGCTTATAAAATGCATATTTCTAGTGACCCGACCTGCATTTAACCTTGTTTTCCACTCTCTCCCCGTTTCCCCTTATTCTTGCTCTCTTTTCCTTTTATCTTCCTCTCTAACAGGCTATTCTGGGAACAATGAGGTCTAGTTTGGAACTGTGGGTGAGGAGTGGCTTTATAATGAGAGGAAAAAACAGGGCGCATTTACTGTGACCTTGAGGTGTTTACCTTGGACACAGAGTCCAGAGCTTTAGATGCTGTCTGCTCCTTCTCTGTCCCAACAGCCGTTCTCTTTAGGATGTTCTGATGAAGAAAAAAATCAGATTTTTAAAAATCTGGATTATCTTCATATTACCTGGATCACCGGGGTCATATGATGCCCATTTTCCACAAGTTGATATGATTCTTTAGGGTCTTAATGAAAAGTCTGTAACATAGTTTGGTTAAAATTTCTCAATGGTAGTGTAAAAACACCTTTTTTTTTAACCTGTCAAAAACAGCTCTTTTCAGCTCAAGCCGTTTTTGTAGCATTTCCCTTTAAATGTTAATGAGCTCTACTGACCCCACCCCCTCTCTGCTGAGCTGCTCTCAGAGAGACTGTTTACTTTAGCTGTTATGTAGCACGACTGCTATGTTCATTATTACATCCAACAACAGAACACCTCAATCGCTTAGGGGTCATTCTTGCCTACATCTGCTCCGGTGGTGAAACAATGGTGGACTGATGACAGCTCACTCAGGGCGGGTCTAAGGTAAGACGCCAGTCCAGTCTGTGCTGAAACGCTACTATCAATCAAACTATCGTGGGAGGGGCCTGGGACTGTGTGATGTCACACAGACCGGCATCTGAGATCGGCTCGATTTGAGAAAGGGGAAAACATTTAACGAGATTAAAAAAAAAAACACCGGGGGAATTTTTATCATTATAGGGTGGTTGTGTACACACACTGCCAACACACATTTCAGTTCAAACAACTTATAAAAGTGCATGTAGCATCCTATGACCCCTTTAAGACAACTCTGCTTGATTATAATGTGATGCCTTGCGAACGAAGTATAATTGTGGAAACAAAAACAAAACTAAAAACTCCCAAAACCAACTGAAATTGGTTCCAACAAATACATATATACTACCTTTTACAATTTTGGGGTCATTAGGAAGTTTCTTATGCTCATCAAGGCTGCATTTATTTGATCAAACAGTAAAATTGTTAAATATTATTTATTTGTTCTATTTTAATATATTTTCAAATGTAATTTATTCCTGTGATGGCAAAGCTGATTTTTTAGCAGTCTTCAGACTCACAAGTTCCTTCAGAAATCCTTCTAATATGCTAATTTGGAGCTCAAGAAATGGTTGTGCAGCTTAGTATTTTTGTGACAAATTTTTTCAGGATGCTTACATGAATAGAAATTTCAAAAGAATGGTATTTATTAAAAATAGAAATCTTTTGTAACAAATGTCTTTAAAAAACAATTCTAAAGTGGATTATGTGAATGATTCACTCACCTCGATGAGCATTTTAATGCGTGTGATTCGCTGAAAGGGCAGCAACAGGAAGGACATAAAGGGCAGTCGCTGACAAATGGGCGACTCCTGGAGTCGGGTGATTACGGTCGCAAACTGAGTGTTAGATTGCCTGTGACAGATATAAGGCAAAAGAACAAGTGAGAAAATACAAAATAAATGGATGATAAGAATATTAGACAAAACAGTTTGAGTTCGTGCTTGTGTGTGTAGGTGTATGAGTTTCTCACATTAGATTACTATAGGTTTTTTCCTGATAAATCTGGTTTCGAACATAGTCGATATACGCAGGGAAATGATGTTGGGCATGATAGTGGATGATGTCACAGATGTCAGAAATGATAACGCTCTCCTCTAGACGCTCCTCCAGGTCCTTTAGAAACCTGTGAACATCAACAGTGGTATTTGTAAATGAATGTTTGTGACTGCTGTGACTTGTTTTACAGTCTACACTGCATCGTCGAATCATTAGACTATTAGTTGAAGATGATGTATTTGTCCTGAGATTTCATGTTTAATAGTTTTCTATTAATAAAACATCAAACGCGGCTGTCTCAGCAAATTCTGATGGGTTACACCTGGAAAATCATTTGTTGCTGTACAATAACAATGCCGCAAATGTAGTCTATGGGGTTCATGTATATAAAGAAAATTAATTTGTTTGGTTCAGGCAGTGCTGCTTCAGCAAATCTAAACTGTATATGTCTTCATTTCACACACACACAGGCACTCACCTCTCGCTGACCTCTTGGATGCGCAGAATGTTTGAGAAGAGGTTTTTTTTGTCCATGTTAATAAGTGTGTCATTCAAGTCACTTGACTCCATAAAATGCTCTGTTAGCACACGCAGAGAGCGCAGATACGACATTTCTGATGTAATCACCTCGAACATGCTCTGCACACAAAGAAAGGAAACACATAAATATATATATTATTTAATTTACGTCTGTTAGCTAAGACTAAACCACTTCTATCCAGTATTGTAATTCCCTTTATTATGGAGTTGTTGTTCGAGCACTTATAGAAAACTTACAGAAAATCCTAAACGCAGCAGCAAAAATGATCAAGTTGGCAAAGAAATATGAATCCGTGACTCCGTTATTAATTTCATTAAAGTGGTTGCCAGTACGAACTTAGAATTATTTATAAGATCCTCATACTTGTTTTTAAGGCCTTGCACAATCTAGCTCCTGTGTATTTGTCCAGTATGGTGGCAATCTACACCTCTAGATCCTTGAGATCAGAAAATCAACATCTGCTTTGCGCTACTAGGACAAAATATAAACAGAGGTGACAGAGCTTTTTCTTGAGCAGGCCCTAAACTGTGGAATGACCTCCCTCAATCTATTCGATCTGCCAAATCCTTACCCATGTTCAAAGCTATGTTAAAACAACATCTTTTAAATACAAATGTGACCCTGGACCACAACACCAGTCTTAAGTCGCTGGGGTATATTTGTAGCAATAGCCAAAGAAACATTGTATGGGTCAAAATTATTGATTTTTCTTTTATGCCAAAAATCATTAGGATATTAAGTAAAGATCATGTTCCATGAAGATGTTTTGTAAATTTCCTACCATAAATATATCAAAACCTAATTTTTGATTAGTAATATGCATTGCTAAGAACTTCATTTGAGCTTATTTATTCACCTTTCAGATGATGTATAAATCTCAATTTCGAGAACTTGACCCTTATGACTGGTTTTGTGGTCCAGGGTCACAAATGGGGAGTTTTTTTTTAATGGTTTAATGTTTATGTGATGTGGGTGTGTATATTTTTGCTATCTTCTTGTGATTCTTAGCTTGTGATTGTGAAGCACTTTGGGCAACGCGAGTTGTATTAAATTGTGCTATATTAAAAAAAAAACTGTGCTATATAAATATATAAATATTATTTAAATTCAATTTACTCTTCAATTTCTCAAAATGTAAAATCTTTATATTGGTAGTAACAGCTTAGTTTTTTTTTTCCCACATTCACTGTTATTATCTTCTGTAATTGTATTACGCTAATTTGTAATACTGCCACATTTCAGGTCACACTTAACCCCAAAATCAAAAGATTTTTTTTTTATTGCATAAAGAAAATAATACATGTTAGGACTTTTAAAATATAAATTTTTATAACTTTCTTTAAATTTTAAAACATTATTTAAAAAAATAATAATTTTTTAATTTTTATATAATAATTTTATAAAAATATTTTTTTTTAAATGAAAACAGTAAGAATGGGATTTTCTTGAATTATGGTTTAACTGTGAAGAAAACAATTTAATAAAAAAAAACTTAATATTCTTTATTCATGCCTTCATTTTCTATAAGTGCAAAAAATAAACTATTGTTCAAAAATGTGGGGTCAATATATTTTTTTTCAACGAATATGCATTCAATTGATCAAAAGTGACACTAAGATATCTATAATGCTCCAAAAATTCTACTTCAAAGAAATGCAGCACAGCTGTTTTCAATTACAATTCATTCTGTTTTCATTTCAACAACAAAAAGAAATGTTTCTTAAACTCCAATCAGCATAATAGAATAATTTTCAATGAATCAAACCGTAAAGGCGGTTGAAAATTCACTTTCGCATCACAGGAATAAATTATATTTTAGAATTTTATTTTTTAAATTGTAATAATTTTTCACAATATTACAGTTTTTACTATACTTTTGATAAAAACACTGCAGTCTCAGAGAGCATTAGACACTTATAATCTTATTGAGAACGGGTAGTATGTGATTGCATGACAATTAAGGGTCAAATTTTCGAAATTGAGATTTACACATCATCTGAAAGCTGAATAAATAAGCTTTCCATTGATGTATGGTTTGTTAGGACAATATTTGGCCGAGATACAACTATTTGAAAATCTGGAATCTGAGGGTGCAAAAAAATCAAAATATTGAGAAAATGGCCTTTAAAGTTGTCCAAATGAAGTCCTTAACAATGCATATAAATCAAGTTTTGATATATTTATGGTAGGAAATTTACAAAATATCTTCATGGAACATGATCTTTACTTAATATTCTAATGATTTTTGGCATAAAAGAAAAATCGATAATTTTGACCCATACAATGTATTGTTGGCTATTGCTACAAATATACCAGTGCTACTTATGACTGCTTTTGTGGTCCAGGGTCACATATTGGTGAGGCCAACACTCTTTGTACTTCCTTTCCCATCCACCCCTTTCCATCCTGTCTTTTCCTACAGATTTCCATCCTCTCTTTCTTTTCTCTTTTCCTCTCAAATGACTTTTATCCCCATATATCCCCAAACACAGAAAGCCTCAAATCTCAGCACTGGCTATGAAGTACATGCTCTCCTCTGCATTCTGTACCATGTTCAGTGAGGATCTCTGCTCACCTCTTGGTACTTGCACTCCTCTGGACTCAGGGTCTGCAGGACCCCACTGTCTCGTACTGCCGACTGGTCCCGCCATAAATTGCTCTGCTTGAGATTTGGAACACTACTGGATCTGGGACGTGTTTCTCCTTTCTCTGGGCTGGATGTAATGCGTGGGTCCATCTGGAAGTCCATGCTGGTTTTACTGATGTTGCGACATACTGTCCTCCTGATCTCCTTGTGTATATATGTTTCTGTGTAAAACTGATACAGCTCTGCAAGGGTCAGAAAATATGGCATTAAATTCAAACCCCCTCAAATCAATTTATTGAGAATTTTTACTAATGTACGAAAGATATCATTCACCACAATTTCTTTATAGTGTTTCTTTCTTAAATTTCATCATGTCTGTCTTATAATTTTCGATTTATAACCAGAAATGTATTCAATAAGAAAACAAATTATACCCTCAGGCACCCCAGCTCCCAAGTCAACAGTTTGTTGGCGACGTGGAATGGCTCGTGGAGGTCTAGAGCTGTGACAGAGATTGAGTTACACATAGTAAAGTCAAATGTGACAGCTGTGTGACTTACAATAAGCTTAAGAGAGCAGAAACTGTTTGAGAGATGAAAGAAATATAAAAAACAAAAACGTATATACTTCTCAGTGGATCCACATTTTTCCCCATCAGCCCCTGCACTGTCATTCTCATCTGCTGATGTCAAGAAAGGAGAAACCAACAATTAAGTACAATAAAACAAACACACAGAGATAATCAACAAATGTCTGACACTTAATTGAAAGAAATGCTGCAACCATACTTTACTTCTGTTATATAAAGCATTTCTGAGTGAAACAGTATACTCAAAAAATAAAAAAAGAAGTACGGTCAGGATTGACTGGATTGTGAAGTGTGCATTTCATAAAAGAATTTGTTCTGAAAAAGAAAGCAAGTCATTCATGTTTGGAACAGTGTTGCTATTGTTAACTAAAACTAAAATTGATAAGAGTTTACAATAAGGTTACATTTGTTAACATTATTTAACTACAGTAGTTAACATGAACTAGCAATGAAAAACACTTCTAACGCATTTATTAAGCTTTTGATTAATTTGATGTTAATTTATCATTTTAATAATACATTATTAAAATCAAAAGTTGTATCTGTTAATGTTATTTAATAGACCTGAGCCAACATGAACTAACAATGAATGTTAACAAAAATTTAAAATACTGTAAAAAACGTATTGCTCATTGTTAGTTACTCATAGTTAATGCATTAACAAAACCTTATTGTTTTACTTTAAAACTCATATAAAAAATAAAAAAGGTTATCTTGGCGATTAACTGAAATAAAAGTCCTTTAGTAAATAAAAGTACTGAAATGATTCAAACTAAACTGAATTAAAAAAAAGAGCTAAACAGAAATATTTAAATTAATAATAATAAAAATGACAAAATCAAATAACAAAATTGCTAAAAATTAAAAAAAAAACCCAGTTTGGAACATAATTCATCTTTTTAAGAACACGAATACAGTCCATTTTGATTTCACGTCGACTTAAAAAGCCTTTATGTAACGTTACCTATAGACTTGAGAGAATAATTGCTGAGGCGTCTTCCGTTCTCATAAGTCTTGGCTGGTGGAGGTGGTGCAGGTCTTTGCAGTCGGGGACTGGCAGGTGGGCTGCCTTTTTTAGGGGGAAGCAGAGGGGACGAAGGACGTGCCAGAGGCTGAGGCAGAATAATGCGAGGACCCCTGTTATCTAAAGGCATTCTGGGAGGAACGGCTGGAGGGGTGTCCTTGCTTACAGTGTCCGGCCCCTTTTGAGGTCTGGGTGGAGTGACCACCTCCAGGCTAACATCGTAGATGGACTCCTCTGGCTCCTCCAAAGGCTGGTCTTTGGGTACGTTTAGAGTAGTCTGGGGAAATGAGACAGCAGAGGCGATCAACGTTGGAGGTCCAGGGTCCGATTTCCTCCTCAGCTGCTGCTCTATTAGGTTACGAGTCTCCTGAAACTTGTCTTTTTTAATTTGCGGCTCCTCATTTTTGTTCTCATCTTCAGCTAATGACTCACTCAAAGACTCCGGCTCCTTATTTGACTTGTCTTCGTTCTCTCCCTCTCCTCTTTCGTTCTGGTCCTCCGTGTCACTGTACTCAATCTCATCCTCCTCACCCTCATCATCATCTTGCTCGCTTATTGGCACCCATACGAGCTTCATGCCAGGCCTCTGCAGGTGACATATACAGCCGCAGTTCTTCTCACACTGAGGCTCTGGAAGAGGGCTGGAATCCCTCTCTGCTCGCAGTTTGCAGCCTTCTTTTCCATCAGGAGCTAGAAGAGGACATGGATTATGGTCAGGGTTTAAGTAAGGGATAATGTACATCCAGCCGGTTGTTATCTCAGAATAAACCCCGACAGGGTGATGCGGAGGGGTCTTGTATCAGCCTGAAGGGGTTTATTCTGAGATAACAACCGGCTGGATGTACATTATCCCGCTTATTACACGGCTACTTGTATTGTGTAATTTTCTTCATTGGCCGCACCCAAGAAAATTCCACAACACTTGCCACATAAGTAAATAATTAGACGCGAAATATTGATTTGAGTTGAAATATTTGAACTTAAAGCCTCCGTGAAGACAGCAGTTGCGAACAAGCGGCAAATTCAAACTAGACGGGCATTTAAGGGAAACGGTGCAGTCAAACCACTTATTACACATTTCACCACAAAAATAATTAAGGCAATAAAAGAATTAAGACGAAAATGTTTTAAAACCTTACCAGTTTGTTAGTTCTCTTATAATCCATTACAGCGTACAAAACAATCGTAGCAAAATGGCAGCAGCTGCGTTTGTATGAAACGAGAGCGAGTCCGCGATACCAGGATGACATAATTAAATAATTGTACACCATTTTGAATCGAGTTTTAATATTTTATTAGCTAAACAAACACAAAGCTTCCACCAAGAAAAAAAAGTTCCTAGCAAGAGTAGGGCGCCGACTTCAGTTACCCGGATCAGCTTTTACCGGTTGTTAGGGATGGGCTATACCCCTTATTTTGTTTTCGATACGATACCGATATTTTTCAAGGCAGTATCGTCGATATCGATACTGATTCGATACTTCTGCACTAAACTTTTAAATTATGAAATTTATTAAATTATTAAATTACTAAGAGTAAAATGGGTAATGAAAACCACTTAACTTTATGTTTAAAACGCATTTTAACCCGTTTAATCCCAAATTTTTCCCAGACATGAAAACATCCAAATGATGTGTCATTAGTAACCCTTTGAAATAATCAATAATTTTTATTTTTTTGGAAAAGTGTGTGAAAAATTTTATTTTATGGTCAGTCACAATTGTAACCGGTGGGATAATGTGTATACTGAATTAACACATTTCTGCAGTCTTAAAAATTGTTATATATCTTAGCCCAGCTATTTTAAACTGTTTGATCACATTCTAGGGTTACTATTATGCAGAAAAAACCCTTATACAACATTGATAGGAATACTGAGATCAAATACAAAAAAATACAACCATCAACGTATTTCAAAATTGTTACTTTTTTGTAACATATATCATCACATTTTTATATTAGTGCTACCAGTATTACAACATTAATATTCTAACTTATTTGTAACATTTGAACTTTTGATTTAGTGCAATATTTTGTACTGCCATTAGGGACTGCCAGTGAATGGCTGTTGCATGCATAAAATGCAACCTTTTTATTCTGACAGTGTATGATTTCAATTAACAATACAGAATAGAACATAATCAATTTTATCTTTCAACGTTCAATTTAAATAATTGTAATTGCACAAACTATGTAGGCTACAATTTCAATTTGTTTATTGTGAAATAACTCAAACATTTATATATTTTTTCTGTCCTCTGATAAGCATTGTTCAGGGCTGCCATTCCCAAAAGCTTTAATGCTTTCTTATGATACTTTTGGGAAACGCAGCCCTGTTTGAATGCACTGTCAGCAGTGAGTGAATGCTCTCTGTGATTGATTGGTTCTGTCTTGCAACATTTGCGTGTGTTCAGATGAGCAAGAAAATAGTTCTATCATACACAATTATTCGCTAACAAAGGTTATTCGTCCAATTCAATGCATATTGTACGCATTATTATTAGTATTGTTGTTAAATAAACAAAACCACTGGTAAATAAAATGCACCTTAGTATCAATATTTTTGGTTTGAGTATCGATACTTCGGATCGATACGCCCATCCCTAGAGAGAACAGAGTGGATGCCGAGTTCCTGTTATCTTTGGTATCTGAGAACAGATTTATTCTCTACCTGGCAATAAAGCTCATTCTGATTCTGATTCTGATAATGTGATGCTATTTTATTTATTTATTTTCAAAAAATGCAATCCATACAATGACTTGAATGCACCTCTTCTACGAAGAGCATGTTTTTTGTACGAAAAATCATTCAGAAATAATCAAAAATGCCAGGATGATATGACTGTCCTGCTATCATAATAGAGAAAAAATGTAAATGAAAAAATGTTAGTTTGGGTTATAAAATGCTATGGAACTCTACAGGTCTTACATTAACTTATAAAGGTTTTTTCATGCACTAATCAATTTAGCAATTTTGGGATATTTTGCTTCCATAACATTTCTTCTTTCAGACTAGTTGAAAGAAAACATCCAAAATACTAATTTGTTTAATTCTATTAAACTTTATTTAGTTATGTCTGTAAACACCAATTACAATACCTATTTTAAAAGGTTTAAAGGTCTCAAAATGAGTTTTTTTTTCTTTCAGGTTTTTTCCCATAAATTGAAGGTTTTTACAGAGTGATTTGTTCGTGTAACATTCACCTGAATTATATAATATTTTATTCCTAAAAAAAATGTGAACAAAACCGTTTGGAAAAACATAATATACTGTGATTAATTAACTGGAAAGGATCTATTTCTGTCTATCTATACTTCAAACTACATTCACCTGTGGTGTCTTGTTTTAAAAATCCATGCTTTGGGGAAAAAAATCACATCTTGAAAAACACATTAAATTTTTTTTTCTTTTTTTTTTTAATAATTAAATTAAAACATGTTCATGATGTTAGGAAAAAAGATAACTTTTTACTTGATGCTTACACCACATGACATTTTCTGAATCATTTCCTTTAAACTTTTTGGAAAATAGCAGAAAAGTTTTCAAAACCATATGAAATGAATAGGAATACAAAGAGTACATTTCTTTGTACAAAATCTACTTGACAGTAGATTTTAAAAGTTTTTTTTTATGGACGCTCTTATACATCTTTGGACCTTACATAAACATGGTAAACAAGCTGCGGCAAAGACTGATCTACAACCCTTAGTAGTACCATGATTGAATGTCTTTGCAATACTCTAAACGTTATATTGCTCTCGAATGGCTTCATATCCTTTCTGATTTCCAGTGTATAAGATCTTGGATTACCATCTCTTCTCTGCTTCTGCTTTGACTGGTCCACCTCGCCCTTCGAGCCTGCCGTTATCAGTGCCGTCAACTTCTGCATGGAACCTTTGCGCTGTGTCGATCCCTCCTCCCCCTCCTTAACCCGCAGATCTTCAAACGTCTCAAATACATTTTGCTTGATCTTGCTAAATGCTCGTTTTAGCCCTTCTGCCATTTCACTACACCGGTGACTGACCTGCTCAAAACCCTCTCGGATTCTGGACTAGTTGAATGCAGGAACTTATGGGTGGGACACTGGTTTATTACCCCAATAATCACATAAATCACACAAAGGCCACTTGCATGCTACTTCCAAGCCTCCTAGACAGTCAAACTAGCTCAGTTCACATAATTGTCACTGTAAAAGAGTTTTATGAACAATATATTCTCAGATAATATCCAACAGGAATGTTAAGAAAAAAAACAAAAAGGTCAAGCTTTTTCCTGTTATGGCTCTTAAACTTTGGAACAGCCTTTATGGTAATGTTTATTGACACAATCTGGATAAAAGGCTCAAGTCTTTAGGCAGACATCTACAATTGAATTACTAACAAAATGTAATATTCCATATTCCAAGTATCAAGCATATTTTAGATTTATATTTAATAATGGCTTTTCTTCCCAGCTTTTTATTCATCAGTACTGTTTGTACTGTATTTTTGATCAAATAAGTGCAGTCTTGATGAGCATAAGACACTTTTCTTTTAAAAAAGCCCCCAAACTTTTGAACGGTACTGTAGTTTTAATATAATTAGTTCCAGGAGGGGTTATTTTATCCCCCCACACCCATCTGTCCATGTGTTCAGCAGACGACACAAACTGTATAATCCTACAGACTGACCAACAACTAAGGCTACGTCCACACGAAGCCAGAGCTTTCTACGGTGGCCGAGAAGTGCAAAGCAAATCACAATTCTGAAAACAAAATAACAAATTACAAACACAAATGCAAGTCTAAAAAACAAAATAACAATTCAGAAAGCACAACAACAATTCAGAAAACACAATGACAAATTTTAAAACAAAATAACAAGTCAGAAAACACAACGTGTTGGCTTTTTGACGCGATCGACCGGGGTTCGATCCTGTCTTTTGCCGAACTTTTTTTCCCTCCCTTTTCATATAATTCATACAATACATTTAAACTGAGCTACTTTAATACCATCTCCGAACTTTCTCACTAAAACATCCAAGTACAAGAAAGTTGATCAATTTAATTTAAAAATGAAAAAAATTAAACTGACATGAGTTTTAGGAACACAAACAGCTTGCATTCCGGAAGTGTGTCCCACACAGAGTTCACATTCAAAGTCACTTTCAAAATTATATTGTAAAAACCAAACTAGCAATTTACATACCATCTCTCCAAGATTACTAGCAACACTAACAGAGAGCAGCAGAGTTTACTCTCACAACACCCAATCAGATGAAGATCAGATTAAAGCTGATTAAAATATGAGTTTAGTAGCAGTGTCCCTAAATTTAATGCTGTAAATAGTACTTGTTCGTTATCTTTATCCTTGTCTTCATTTCTTTCTGTCTATCTACATTTTTACGTCTCAGAGTGCATTACTCAAAGCACAGAAACAGAAACACACAGAAGGTTACAATGACAACAGATGTAAACACTTTTAGGATGCTTGAATTTTGTGCTGCTTGTGCGTTTAAAGGAAAAGTTCATCCAAAAATGAAAACTCACTGGAGAACATGCAGCTTTTTGCTTCACATGACACAAATTGATGGACTGGACTATTGTGATAATAACTCTCATTCTGATGGCACCCATTAATTGCAGAGGATCCACTGGTAAGCTAGTGATGTAATGCTACATTTCTCCAAATCTCAAACTCATTTACATCTTGGATGGCCTAAAGGTGAGTACATTTCAGCTAATTTCATTTTTAGGTGAAGTATTCCTTTACATTTTACGGCTATCTAAAATTTGGTGACTGAATATTGTGGAGAAAAAAAAATCCTTTAAAAAAATCCAGGAGATTTTCCATGGAAGTAGGTCAAACAAATCCTGAAAAGAAAGTAAATACACCATACCTGATCGGCTTCCATCAACAGCACTCAAAGCTCCTTCTTGTCTCTCTTGGCAGTCCACCTCGTCTTTCTGTCCACTGTGATTTTGTCTGGTCTTTGGAGGCAGAGGAGGTGCCTTGCCATCACTGGTGGGGGAAGAACTTTTCGGTTTGCGTCTAGGCTTTATTGCAGGAGGTCTTTGTTGTCTACATTCTATGCTGGTGCTCTTTGCTATATCTCCACTTGGAATCTTAGCCTCTGGCTGGCTGAATTTGTTGACTATCTTTTTGACATTCCCAGAGTTCTGTGAGGCTGCACCTTCCACAGATGAGGTGTCTGAGGTATTATTGGACGGCTTGATGGGAACCGGGGGTCTTTGTTTAACCTCAGGTTTCTGAGGCAGATTCTGAGACTCTTGAGAAGACATCCTGATCTTGGTTTTGATGTTTTAACCAAAGCAACCTGGCCAATATGAGGCCAGGCAGCAGGGTCACCGAGGGCCTTCAATCTTCAACCTGCAGTAACAAATAGTAAGGACATTAAACATGACTGATGCACCCTTACAGACTCTTTCCATCACTTGATCAATCCCAGATCACCTGACATTGCAGTGTATTCATTAGATATATTTAAATTCTGGCTGATACAGCTAAATGGGCGATTTTAATGTCACAATGAAACAGAATTCCATGTTGTGACGAACATCAGAGTGTAACAAATTAATCAAAATTGTAGTCTGGTGACTTGGTTGTTGTATTTATTGTTGATAGATTTTTACATTTTTAGGCAATGCACTAAAAAGTGGAGGCACATGATTGTAAACTTGAAGGGACAGGGTTATATAGCAGATTCAATTAGTGGAGAATTCTTGCATTTTGATTAAACATTATGAAAACTGAAAAGATGAAACATATGCACAGATGAATTATTCAGGTCTAAAATATGCATTTATAAAATAGGGCGAATTTACATGTCATTTTTATTTATATTATTTTGTACAAATGAATTAAAACACTAAAACCAAAATAAGTCATTTTAAATGCTACAATTGAATTAATTTAGACATCACAAAAAGTAATATATACATTTTTAGATTTATTAAAGTTAGTAGATTTAACAGTGTATTAATTAATCTAAATCATGCACACTTAAATATCTAATATACTGACAGAGACAATATTTATAAAAAAAGAAAAAACTCCAATATCAGCCAATAACCGATATAGTACCAATACATTGTCCAGCCCTAGTTTCCATTCTTTCAGTTTCATATCCTTCATGAAGAGTACTGTAATTGAAACCTCAGTCATCTATAGGAGTCAAAGTCCTCAAAAGTACATAAATATTTGTCACGATGATTAGCATCTGGTAACTCATTAAATTAAATAAAAAGCAGTGATCCTTGTACTGGAGTTGCCTCACACCGTACAGGTTTAACTGCACAGGACTTTGCTCTTACAGGCAAAAGTCTATATAAAATATGATATAAATTATAATAAATGTATATAAAATATGAGCTGAACTTGCAATCAGACTGGTTAGTGAAACGGCATGCTGGAAACAGTATGAAACTTAGCTAGGAATGTGCTTGTATGTCATGTTTATAGTACATGCCAGGTACTTTGACCTTTCAGATTCCAAAAGCCTATGCATGATGAGATTAAAATAATATGATTAGTAGTACATATATACCATTTTATTGCTTATTGTTTCTCCTTATTTAAAAACAATACCAATGCCTTGAATGGAACTGGTTTGGAATCTTGGTTTGGAATAAACCCATTCTGCAAATATTGGAAGGGAACGGGTGTGTCAACACGACTTCCTGTGTCAACAATTCTATAGTCAGGTTGAACTTTGGCGTTACTGACTTCACTTGACTCGCACCCCTCTGACAGACTCAGCAGGTCTGTCAAGTTCTCCACTGCTGCTGTGCACTAATTTGATATCCTGAACATACAAAGCTCCAACATTAAACAAAGCCAGAAAGAAATGCTTTCCCTTGGGGTGAAACAGGATGGTTGAAAAGGTTATCATTTAAAAGGGCGATAATGTTTCGTCATTTTTACATCGTTCTGATATTTCAAACTTCAATAAGGTATAAACATCCCCTCAAGCAACAGGACATGCAAGTATCCCCTGCTGAGCAGTTTTTTTTCCAAAAATGTACAAGACACTTCCCCTCCAACCTATAAACATCTTGGAATCCTCCTTTCCTGTTGAGAACCTGGGCTTTGCTTAAATTCCTTAGAATCACTGGGATGTTGAGCTGTATATCAACAGTATAAATAAATATAAATAAGTAAATAAAAAGTATTTTTAATGTAAAATGCAGAAATTTTCTGTTAGGGTTAGGTTATAGTATTTATAACTACCTGTATATAAAACAATATAAGTCTATAGAGTGTCCCCTTTTAGATAGACAAATGTGTGTGTGTGTGTAATCCACTGGGTTACAAATTCCTTTGTATTGTCAGACCTGACACTTAATTTCTTTCATAATCATTCATGACAATGTTTGTGAAACAATGGGCCAATGAAAAATCAACATTAAATCTGAAAGTCAATATTTCTATGTTGTTCACATGACCAATAAGGATCTGCTGTGTGAACTGAATGGTGGTAATGTAACATGTCATTAATTTAGCATTAATTTATATATCTGACAGACATAGTAACAAATAAGTAAGATGCAGTACTACATTCACAGCTGAGGCTTCTAAAATTCATATCTGTAATACTACATCCGGCTTACTTACCAAATGTGTCTCACTCTCCTATATAATCCATAAAGAAAAGCGAGTTCCTGAAATGTGTCCAGAGCAAACTTCCTCATAAAAATAAAAACATTAGAGTGGCGTGGTGTAACTCTCACAGTGCACGTGAACAGATCAGTGTACGAGCAGTTATACAGACATCCATGTTAATACATTTCTTTAAAATGACAGCAACAGATCGCCACATCCCAGCGCGATCTTCATATCCGTACGGATCTGATCAGACGTTACTTTCGTCTTTCCTCTTTTGTTGTCCTCTCCAGTAAATCCACGCGCATCTCTGGCTCTTTGTTTTCCTTCCCGTGAGCGTGTGGGTAAGAACAGCCGGACAGGGACAGTGTGATTAGTGCACACACCCCTCCTCCCATTGCACCCTATCCCATTCTTGTCTGCACACCCTCCTTTGGCTGCCACCCAGCGCAGACTCTCAGTGTGAGTGTGTGTGTGTGTGTGTGTGTGTGGATCAGGTTTATGGGAATCAAGCACAGTAAAACCTGAAATCATCTATTACTTACGAAATGGCCGTTTATCTACTATGAGCAAAACGGTTTAATAAACATACAAAAATAAACAGGGAACATAGAATATACTAGCTATACTGTAAGGCTGAAAATATAGTTCATAAAGAGACAATGTCTTTAGTGCCTTAAAAAATTCATAAACTGTATTTTGTCTTTTTGATTAGTTTATTGCGTAAGTTTTAATAACGATGTTAAATGAGGTGTAGAAGACAAAACCGATCTTGAACAACCGACTTGTGACAGTCTTTTATTTTGAAAAGCAGGTGGAGAGTCTCAGAGGAGTACCACTGCAAACCCCCTTTTTTTTTTTTTTTTTTTTTTTACAGTCCCTGCAAATCCGAAATGATTTATGCACGTTTATATTGTTCTCTTCCACAAGCGAATCACAAATTTTGTTTATTTTTATTTTTTTTTCAATGGAGGAATGAGGGGATAAAAAGCCGATCTTTTACTAAGGATACAAGATTTACTTTTAGTCTTTCCAAATTATAATTTTTTTTTTTTTTACTCATTCCACTTGTGATAAACCAATAAAATTGCATAGCAAAAGCCACAAATGTAGTGATGGAAACTAAACTGAAATAATATTACTTGAAATGCACTTTAAAGGTAAAGGAAAGAGACAAATAAATCTAAAGTAAACTGTACAATATCCAATATAATCCAGTAGCATATTATTTGTACATCTACCAGTATTTACAATTCAAGAATCGTTTTTTAATCAAATAATTATCTGTTTCCTTGAATTTAACATTGATTACTACATGAAAACATTAACAAATAAATAAACATACAAGAATGTGTCTGATTCATGAATACAATTTATGAATCAAAGATTCGATTCAGTTGGAGAGTCGATTCTCAGCAGCAGTGTTTACTGTCAGCAGACCAGCGACTAGGCTTTTCCGTCTGATAAGGTGATCAGTTGCTTTTGTTTCCGTAGACGTGCTAATTATCGCACTGTTTTGCTGACTGAATGAATATATCCGCGTTTTCTGCAATCAGATTACCGTATTTAAAGCAGAGATAGACACTAGCTCTGTAGCTAACGAGCTGTTACATGTAGCAGATTAGCTGGCCAGCTAAACTCAGATACCCTGAATATTCTGCAGGCTAGAATATATAATACTAAAACTATCACCACCATACAGAATGCATCTGTCCCTCACTTTGATATTCAAGGCTTTAACAGCTGTTTTAACTGGCAGTTGCGCTGTTATGTCTCATGCAGTGTTGTTAGCCTGCTTCAGTATTTGTTTACACAGATCTGCTGCTCTACACTGAGCTTGCAGATGATATGGATCCTGATAGTGTAAGATATATGAATTTTATATAGTATGAAAATAGACAGGAGAACGCGATAATTGCTTATATTGTTGTTTGTTTTGATATTGAACATGCAGGTTATGAAAAAATATATATTTGCAAGTGGCTTGCATAGGTCCCACAAATACCTAAAAGCTGTGTATATAAGTATAAGGCATTTTTTCCTGCACACACTTATCACCGCAAGAGCAGACAAAGTGCCACTCGGCAATTAGATCCTCATAATATTAGAAAATAATGACAAGCCTATTAGCCCAAAATTTGTTATATTACATGTATTATTCTACTACATGGGTAATTTACTCTCTCAATGAGTGTTAGATGAATATGTGTAAAATGTGTCAATCCCATGTGTAAATACAATGTGTGTGTGTGTGTGTGTATTTTTGCCATCACTACAGTAAGCACAAACACCCACATGCCAATTAGATACCTAGTCACCTGAGAGTGAAGTGGAGGCTATCCTTAGCACCATATCTAGCTATTGCCTCCCACAGGACAGACCACTGTGACTCGCCCCCCCTCCTCGGCCAACCTCAGAGGGCCTTGCCACGAGATGCTGTTTTTTTTATGCTGTATATGTAATCACAAGGCTGGTTACAATCTCTCTTTGTTAACCTCACCCACACAGGGCTGAACAAACAGACTGACACTGAAGATCTCTCAGTAGCATCCACCTGGACGGACTTTCTGGTTTTCGACCCATTGCAGGTGGGTAAAAATGTGTGGCTTTGGCATGATTGTGATGAGAATGTTGAAATGCACTTACAGAATTTAATATAACTTGTCTTTAATGCACGTGTGCAGTGTATAAGCTGCAGTGAAGTCTTCTGAAAACTGTTTAGAGAAAATGTAACTTTCAGTGAAAAAAAAAATATATATATATATAATTTTCAATGAACAATACCACTTGATTAGACCAGATGTTTTTAATGTAGGGTTCGGGGACCCCCAGGGGGCTCCAAAGGAGCGCTAGGGGGTCCATGGAAAAGTTTAGAGAAAAATAATGTCAAAAATATAAAAATAGTTTGTGAAAATAAGATTAAAATTAAAACTTTGTTTTAAATAAATAAAAATTGATTAAATTAGTAAAAATGAAGTGATTAAATGAATGCATAAAAAAACATTCAATTAAAATAAATATATATTACATCTAACAGTAGAGTACTATAAGAAGTTAAAAATGTGTAATAATTGTTTTTTAAACAATATTTTAGACATATTTATCAAATTAATTTTTCACCGTATAAATTGGGTCTTTATACAAGAATGCCTTTAAAATTTTAGGAGAGGGTCCCTCAGACAAGTACGATCATATTTTGGGGTCCGTGGCATCTCAAAGATTGAAAACTCCATTTTAAACAGTTATCGTTTTAAACAACGATCAATAATTGTTACATTAGTCGAGCTCACACAAGGCTTTTCGTCAGATTTCACAGCTGCAGTGTCTTTAATTGGAGAGCTCAGGTGGAGAAAGATGCTGTTGGGCTCAGGGAGATGCCAGTGTGTGCCGGGGCCCTGCTGGGCTGCTGAAACCACTGAGAATAGAGCTCAGCATGCACTTTATCACTCAAATGAAAGTAGTCCCTTACTGCTATGCTCTTTTAGTTCGTTTTATTGATGGCTGTGTGTTTGGACTATATTCTATACTATTATATTGTTGTTTTTTTTGCTATTTTCTCTCCACATGTCCCTCCTCTTCCTCCTGGTCTCTGCAGGATAGCGGATCAGGACTTGAAACATGAGCTCTGTGGCAGTGTTGACTCAGGAGAGTTTTGCGGAGCACCGCAGTGGCTTGAAGGACGTTGAGATCACGGGTATGACGACTGTGGCAAAATTAGGGGTGAAACTATTCTTCTACATGATTCCGACGTTTAGTAATTTTTTTGTACCACAGTTCATCGCATGTCTAACGGCAGGAATCGATAACGGATGTAACAGTGAATTAAAAGATGCACATGCAAATACATTAGTATATTTCATAAGTAGCGGCAAAGATCATGTATACTAATGATTTGTTACTGGAACAGTTTTACAGCTAGTATTAAGGCCCGTTCACACTAAGAACGATAACTATATTAGCATCCACACCAGCAGTCGATATTGTCTGTTTATTCTAAGTGAATGCTTGTCTGCCGCTTTAAATTCTCAAGCTCATTATGGCAGGATTGATTCTGATTGGGTGTCAATGTTTTTATCGTTCATCAGCTGGAAAAAAATCGGTCTGAAAGTGATTCCAAAGATATCGTTTCTCTGTGCCTTTATCGTTATAGCTGTGGTATGGACTCTGCTATTCTTTAATATTGAGAAGGATTTTTATCGTTATTTTATCGTTATCTTTATAGTTATCGTCCTTGGTGTGAACAGGCCTGCAAAGTTTAGAATAATGATCTTTAAAATAGCATCATATGACCCCTTATATCTTTATAAGTCTTTATATTATGATTCTTGGTGTCAACAGGCCTTTAGACACATCTCTTTGTTTTTGAACACTGATGCTGAAAACTTGTGCTGTTGTATAATATAATATAATATAATATAATAATTATTTCCATTCATAATTATCAATCTTAAATATATATAATTGATGTATCCCTGTTGGTGAAGTAAACTGAACAACTAAGATGTACAAAAAAGAAAAAAATGTTAGTATTTTCAATAATTGTTTATGCAGTTGGTATTTCTTTGTTCTAGATGACACTGGTTGATTGTCTTCATAAAGCATCATACTGTTATTATCAAAATAATGCAAAGAGAAGTGGTTGTGTGCATTTTACAATTCCTTTTTTTATTGTCTGTGATTAGGTAGTGTGCCAGAAGATGAAGCATATATACCCACCTATCTGGAGGCCTTTCCACCTTTACCGGACAAGGGCACTCCAGGTGAGAAGACAGGTGAGCCGGCAGGTGCCTGGAGCAAAATCCGACCCATCAAAGCCTCTGTCATCACTCAGGTAACATATATAATCATCCACAGAAGGTTTATACAGTCTGAGTAAGCTGCACTGTATCTTTTCCGTGTTATTGAGGGCCTGCCACACTTTTTCTACTTCTCTTTGCACCTTCAGGTGTTCCATGTTCCTTTGGAGGAGCGGCGGTATAAAGACAACAGTCAGTTTGGTGAGGGTGAGGAGGCGAAAGTATGTCTGGATATCATGCAGAAGACCGGGGCACATATCGAACTCTCTCTTGCCAAGGACCAAGGCCTCTCCATCATGGTGACTGGAAAACTGGATTCGGTTATGAAAGCGAGGAAGGAGATTGTGGCCCGACTGCAGACTCAGGTGCTTGTTTGAGTCTTGCATTTCTTATTCGATTAATTTACTGTATGTTAAAAGTTATATATTTGAATGCTTAACTTCTTAGGCGTCAGCGATTGTGCTTATTCCGAAAGAACATCATCGATTTGTGATCGGAAAGAATGGGGAAAAGTTACAGGAGCTGGAGCTGAAAACAGCCACCAAGATCGCCATCCCCCGCTCTGACGATCCCAACGCCAACATCCGCATCACCGGCACCAAGGAAGGCATTGAGAAAGCTCG